CTGTAAATAATGTTATTAAATGTTTTAGGCTCCTAGAGAATTTTCTAAAAGCTTTGAAAATTTAAAAGGTACCATATATTTTTCCTCCCTCCCTGCTAACTTTGGGCTTTTTCTCCTATGTATTTCTGTATATCACATTTTATTTTTCATTAAACAAAAATTTGCTGAAAGTCTACTCTGTACTGGGTATGTTGCTAGCAGAAAGACTATCTCAGGGAGGTCAGACATACCCTCAATGATCTAGAACATATGGCATTTGAAACATCTCTGCATTACTGAGGTGATTCTTTCCTGTTTTTAAACATATAGAAAATATAGAGAAGAATAGTATGTAACAAACAGTCGTATATTTATCTATGTTTATGTGTCTGATTTTCCTGTTAATCTTTTAGTTCTTTGAAGGCAGTGATGATTTCTTCATCTTGCATCTTGTATACCCAACATAGAATTTGGCACATACTGGGCACTCAATGTCTACTCAAAAATGATTCAGAAAAAAAAAAAAAAAAAAACCAAGAAAAAAACCCAAAACAAACAAACAAGCATGACACAGCTTGAAGCTTTTTAAATTAATATTATGTCCTTTTCCCATATTTCCTTTAAAGTCTCTTAAATAATTATGGAACTAACCTCTTCTATGACAGTGTGACATTCCCAATTAACTTCTATGGACATTCACTGTTTTCTGTCACTCTAATACATCCTTTGACCACACAGATAGTGGTACTACTTCCCTGCTTGCACTTGGGTGTCTGGCTCTAACATGTTTGTTGGTCCTTATGTTTTCTCATTACATTGCACTGATGACCTGGGAAGCAGTGCAGAGGGAAAGTGTGCTAAGTAAGGGATTTCCAGAATAACATGCTTTCCTCCAACAAAGAGATTTAGCAAAAGTGTTAAAACAGGAGGAAGACAAGACCATTTCATTTAACTTTTCTAGAACTGACTTCAGGTCCTGCTAAAGGAGTCTTTTGACCTCTTAAACATACTATCTTTAGGAAAGGGAGAGAATGAGAAAGGGAGGGAAAGAGGAAGGAAGTGAGGAAGACAGATGGACACCGTGTGGAAATAAGGCCAACTACTGAATAGAAAGGAATCTTCAGATTCCTGATGGTATCAGCAGGCAGGCAGGAATTTAACACATGAACCTAAAATGAACAAATGGCACTAATCTGCTAAACCTCAAGAAAAACCTAGTCATTAATTTTCTGTTTTTAATGAATTGTAAGTGAACAGTGATAGAAATACCTACTAAAACAGTTAAAACCAAAACCAAACATCTGTATTTTCTCTAACGGTTGAGCTGTGGTCATAAAGATCTTTAAAGGTGCAATCCCCAGGGTTTGGAAAGGTATTAACTAGCACTAATCTTCTGAAGGTCAATTTGACAATACATATTAACAACCCTTAGGGTTTAAAAAAAAAAAAATCCTTTGACCCAACAATTTTAGGAATTTATCTACAAAATTTTACAATAAGAAAATTCACTGTGTTACTATTTACAATAGTAAACAACTGCAAACAATCTAAATGCCTACTCATAGGGAATTTGTTAAAGGTTGATAAATCCTTATGAAGGAATACTCAAGTATAAATATACCTATTAAATATAAAATTACTTATGAAGGGTATTCCTTCATAAGGATTTATGAATCTTTAACAGGAAAATAAACTGGTACATTATTTTTTGGTTGCAGAACTCTTTTTATCCCCAAATGATATCCAGTTATAACTTAAATTTATTTTAAAAAATTGTTTTTAATTTTTTTCATTTTATTTAGAGAGAGAGAGAGCACGAGTGGGGAAGAGGAGCAGAGGGAGGGAGGGAGAGAGAGAGAGGGAGAGAGAGAGAGAGAGGGAGAGAGAGAGAGAGAGGGAGAAAGAGAGAAAGAGAGAGAGAGAGAATCCTAAGCAGGCTCCACACTGAGCGCGGGGCTTGATCTCACAACCCTGGGATCATAACCTGAGTGCTCAACCAACTGTGCCACCCAGGTGCCCTTCAACCTAAATATAAATAGAAAAAAACAACAGCAACAATCAAAGATACTCTTTTGAAAGTGAGGGTGGGGAACCTGGAACGCTGTCCACTCATCATCAGAGGCTACCCCTAGGAACTTTATGGCTTCAGGGAACATTTTGAAAACTACTACTCTTCAAGAACATTTACTGAGGAAAAAAAGATTATAAAATTACTGCATTTTTGTAAAAAGAAATTATACATGTTTATATTTATATATTCTACAATGAAGAATAGTTAGAAAGATATACGTTAAAACACAAACAGTGCTTATCTTTGAGTGGTAAGCTTATAGGTGATTTGTACTTATTGCTCATATGCAATTTTCCTCTAGATCTACTACAATGAGCATGCATTTTGATTAAAAGAAAATAATATTAGTTATTTTTAACACTGTATTTTAAAATTGGATTCTTCTGTAAGAAGTAAGTTTTTATTATCCCTTTATTTCAGTTGGTATTTAAGGTACTAACAATTCTTTAGGTGCTTGCTCAACTGGAGAAAGATGCCATGCATCTGACAATCAAGGAATTATTAAAATGCAAGTAAATGGGGGCACCTGGGTTGCTCAGTCGGTTAAGTGTCCAACTTTTGATCTCAGCTCAGGTCACGACCTCACAGATCAAGCCTCGTGTCAGGCTCTGTGCTGACAGTGCAGAGTCTGCTTGGGATTCTCTCTCCCTCTCTCTCTGCCCCTCCCCCCACATATCTCTCAAAATAAATAAATAAACTTTAAAAAAAAATCTAAGTAAATGGACTCTTATCGGCAAGTTTCTCTGCAACTTTATTATAGACTTTCTTTATGCTAAGTTGTGGGTACCTCCCTAAAAGGTACTCTATGTTCTGATTTCAGGGAAACATCCATCTCCCCAATCTTCAAACAGCTTTATCATTCTCAGTCTTCCTATCTCAGGAGACACCTTCATGGTCTTCTCTGTGCTAAGTATTTTCAATCATGAATGCACGGTTTCTCTCCTAGCACTTAACACAATTTGAATTATATATTTGTTTACTTACTACCTGTCTCACCAACAAAACTGAAGGCAGAGACTAGGTCTATTATTTGCCAACATATTACACATGCCAGCATGATACCCTGTAACTGGCCATAAATATTTATTGACTAACTGAATGATTGACTAAATGTTTGCTAAAATTTGAATTTGGAGACCCACAGAGATTCAACTGGTTTAAAAATAACCTTTCCCACACTCCTGCCTAAATGGGTTGCCAAGATCCTACTTTCACTACTGTTTAAATTTCTGATAACTTCAGTAATAGCCCAGACTAACATTAACTGGGCACATTTTATAACAGCTTCATCTACTGAACCACAACTCACAAGAAGCCCTTCATCTGCTGAGAAGCCTGCTTCAGGACTACTGATCCTTTCTCATGTATCTTTCGGAAAATAAACTTTCTATGCCACAGAATGAGTATTTGCTGCTTCAAAATCTTCTAAGGCTTCTTCCAGCCCCACTATTGCTTCTAACTGAAGCACACTCATGAGGGCTAATCTCAATTTACTGATACATGTTACATGTCATTCCATACATATACTGATAAGCAGTCATTGACTTATACACCCTTTTGTTGGGAATCTGAACAGTGTGAACTACTATTTTGGGCACAATTTAAATAACAGGGCCTCCCAACAATGAAAAACCAACAGTCTCAGAAGAGCTCTTGCAACTAAATGGAGAACTTAAAAACACCAAAACAAACAGCGTAAGAAAAATAACCATAGAAGGTACCAAATAAGCATAGAGACATAATATTTTAAATACTTCCAAATATTTGGTTTCAAAGCATAAATGGAGCATGTGGGCTTTCCACATGTTTTCCTGCCAGTCTCAGGAAAAACTGACCATACTACAGTCATCTAAAACAGCTGTTAGGACTGATCTTCAAATATTTGGTTTCAAAATATAGACCTATTTGCACTTTAAAACTCAGATGCCTGCATTCTCCCACTATAGCACTGCACTGAGATAATCTTCTCAAAGTAGGTTGCTGGCAAAAACAGATCGGTATTCATGGTGAGAACTGTTTCAAATGGACACAGCAAAATGTTAGCCCTAGGTCCTAAAGTCAATTGTCAGAAAAGATAATTTGCTCTGGCACCAACATACTGCATTTCTTTCTTCTTTTCTTTTCTTTCTTTTTAAAGCAGGGGCTCAATTTCACGCATTATTTAAGGTTAAATAGGGTAAACGTGAAATGTTGAGATTCTAGAAGCAAGGAAAAAAGTTTGTCTACTTCATTTACAATTGTCTTCTTCCTTAAACTAACTTTCTTGTTTAGCATATTGTTCTTGTGGGTACTTAGATATAAACTATCAAATCTGCCTCACTTTTGGGCTGCTGTATGGTCCAAGCCACAGAAAAGGATCTTAGTCTAGAAAAAAACCTTTCTCACACATTAGTGTAATTACATTTGTTTCCTAGGACTGTGTACCAGCCTGGATATCTAGTTGTAGTCCTACATTTCTGATAGTTATCTAATACTATAACACTCTAGGAGACTGGGATGATAGGTGATACAGCATCTTTTACTCTACTGAGGAGACATCAATTCTGATTGATCAGTTTTAACTGGCCTGATTATCTTATCTTTTTTTTAAGATGTCAGTCATCATAAATGCCTGTAACTTTATGAACCACATTGTTTTATTTCCCTTCAAATATTATCATTTAAACCTTATTCCTCAAAAAGGCATTAAAAAAAAAGACATGTGATGGTACAACTCAGAAAAGGAACTATATTTGGCATCTTACAAAATAATAATCCATATTAACTATATTGGAATTACATTTTTTTAAATCTATAAAAAACAAATAAAATAAAATATTTGTTTTTTCATCTTCATCCTATTTTTCTAGTAAGTGTTAAACAAATGTCAACTAAAACCTTACAGGCAGCTCTAGGGATGCCCCGGACTAATTAAATAATAGGTAGATAAGAATATTCTTCTCAACCTTACCTCTTTATGTGCCTTCCAACTGTCTACTGTCACATTGAAGAGAGCTTTGAGGGCCTCGATGGCACAGTCTGTCTCCTGAGGTGAAAGAGGAGGTCCATTACGGTCTATGGCCGATTCATACTCATCGGTCCACTTGATGCTAAAGGCACTTTCCAAGATCTGGGTTAGCAGCGCTAGTCCCTGAAGCTCATAGCGCAATTGTGACCTGATGTCGGTGTGCAAAAGTGACAGGAGGAAGAGCAAGCGCAAGTCAAAGCATTTAATGTCACTGATAAACTTTCGGTCCTTGCACTTTCTTAGGAGGTTACAGAGCTTTGCAGCAAGGTTAAGTTCCAGGCTGAGCTGCTGTGCCATCTGACTGTTGAACACTATGTTACACAGACATTTTAATGACTCCACAATAACTGGGAACTCGGACACCTTCTCCAAAGAATCATCCGACTCATTTAGCTTGGCTAGTCGCAGCAGTATCTGCATATTTTCCTTGGTTGTTACAGGAACTAAAACCTTTTTGTCTCTGGAGAGAATGCGGAGAACTTCCAGGCAAGACACTTGACATGTTGTTGGGATGTCCTTTACAAGGACTTTAAATATACCTTCACAGAGTTTCTGAAAAACAAGAATGAGTATGAAAAGTCATTATTTGGCTTAAATGATTTAAAAGAGAATACTTCTCTACCAATGTATGTAATAGCAGTCAGGTTCTGGCTAGAAAAGATTTTTACTTTAAAAAACATTTTTTTTTTTTTTACATTTATTTATTTTTGAGAGACAGAGAGACAGAGCACAAGTGGGGGAGGGGCAGAGAGAGAAGGAGACACAGAATCCGAAGCAGGCTCCAGGCTGTGAGCCGTCAGCACAGAGCCTGACGCGGGGCTCGAACTCACCAGCTGTTGAGATCATGACCTGAGCCGAAGTCGGACGCTCAACCGACTGAGCCACCAGGCGCCTCGATTTTTAATTTTTTAAGTCACAGAATGTTAGAAGTGAAAGAGACCTTAGGGGCACCTAGGTGGCTTCGGCTCAGGTCATGATCTCAACGGCTGGTGAGTTCGAGCCCCGCGTCGGGCTCTGTGCTGACAGCTCAGAGCCTGGAGCCTGCTTCGGATTCTGTGTCTCCTTCTCTCTCTGTCCCTCCCCCACTTGTGCTTTGTCTCTGTCTCTCTCTCCCTCTCTCGAAAATAAACATTCAAAAAAAAATTAAAAAAAAAAAAAAAAAGAAAGAGACCTTATATTTGCTGCACTTCTTTCACTTACAGATATGGAAATTGAAGGCTAGAGAGACTCAATTAGTTGTACAGGGCCAGAGTGAATCGGTCAAGTTTTATATAGCTTTGTTCTCAACAGATTTTTAACATCAGACTACATATAATACCAGGATAGAAGGCAGTTAGTCTGAATCATAGCTGATGGACCCAAAGTACATATTATCTATCTTGCATTTTTTGAAAAATAATTATTCCTGTCATTGCTAAATTTAAGAACCACTGTTCATCTCTCAAAATTCAATGTCTAGCTTTCTTCTCCATAAACTGCAGGTCTGGGTCTCTCAAGCTCATGTCTTATATGTGGAACAAGTAGGTATAACTATTTTACTACTGACCATTTCTGTACCTGTTGCATTTTATAAAAACAACAGCACCAACTAGGACTGATGTAAGATTTTACAAAGTTTGTATTAACCTAGCATCAGACTTTAACTCTTTAAAAAGAGGCTATTCATGGGTCAAGCATTATGATCTTGGCAGGAATCCCAAGCTGTGTGTACCTTCTCAGGTACATCCTAGTAGTACAGCTATGGCAATGTCAACTTTAAATGTACAGTTGACCCTTGAACAACATGGATCTGAACTGCACAGGTCCACTTATACATGGATCTTTTTCAATAAATACAGTATAGTACTATAAATGTATTTTCTCTTCCTTGTGATTTTAACACTTTTCTCTGGCTTACTTTATTGTAAAAGTATAAATCCAATAATATATAACATACAAAATATGCGTTAATCGACTGTTGATGTTATTTGTAAGGCTTCTGGTCAACAGTAGGCTCTTAGTAAGTTAAATTTCTGGAGAGTCAGAAATTATACACAGAATTAAATAAAAAGGTTTTTTTAACATTTATTTATTTTTGAGAGATAGAACACAAACAGGGAGGAGCAGAGAGAGAGAGGGACACAGAATCCAAAGCAGGCTCTAGGCTCTGAGCTGTCAGCACAAAGTCCGACGTGGGGCTCAAACCCACAAGCCGTGAGATCATGACCCCGAACTGAGCTCGGACGCTTCACCAACTGAGCCACCCAGGTGCCCCATATACACAGAATTTTTTTTGACTGTGCAGGGGGTTGGCGCCCATAACCCCCACGTTGTTCAAGGGTCAACTGTACTATTTTCTCTAGATGGAGGTGGGAAGGAAATTAACTTGACAAGCTGAAAAAAATTTGATAATAATGTCAATTCTACCTGCCATCCCTGATGACTAGAAAGGACTTTCATTTAATGTCTTACTAAACTTTTTTGAAGTTTTTTATTTATTTTGAGAGAGTGAGTGAGCAGGGGAGGGGCAGAGAGAGAGGGAGAGAAAGAATCCCAAGCAGGCTCTGTGCTATTAGCACAGAGCCTGATGTAGGGCTCAAATTTATGAACCGTGAGATCATGATCTGAGCCGAAACCAAGAGTCAGATGCTTAGCCAATGGACTGAGACATCCAGACACCCCAAAGCATTTTGTTTTAAAAATGAACATAAGTTTGGGCAGTGGGGACAAGTGTAATGTGCCCATTATAAAAATACAAAAAACAAGGCAATTTTTCTCTAATTTCTGATCTTTCATATCCAAGATAAAAAACAAAACAAAACAAAACAAAACCAATTCTACATACTGTTTCCTATGTGGTATATTTCTGGGGGTGAAGTCAGATAATCTTTGCACCCACATAACTTTATTCAAGAGAGAACTCATCTACATTCCTGTTTAAGAAACACATAATAAATAAGGTATTATAAAATATTATATATGTGAATTTGGAGTTCTACATATCTAGTAAAATAGACATCTTTACCTCCTAACTTTCTAAACCAAAAATAACAACAGCAACAAAAAAATCCCCCCCAAATCTATAGACAATATGATTCCTTTCTTGCTCTACCTTCAGACTCAAGAAAGGGAAAGAACAAAGTATGAATACAAACAGGAAGAGACAAGGCTATAGACCAAATGGACTAAAACATTGGGACATAAAAAGGCTACATGAAAGAAATTAGAAAGCCTACAAAATTTATAGTTAAAAACTACTTCTGGGGCACCTGAGTAGCTCAGTCAGTCTGACTGAGTCAGTCTGACTTCAGCTCAGCTCATGATCTCATGGTTTGTGAATCTGAGCCCTGCATCAGGCTCTCTGCAGTCAGCAGAGCCCTCTTTGAATCCTCTGTCACCCTCTCTCCTTGCCCCTCTCCCGTTCATGCTCTTTCAAAAATAAACAAACATTAAAAAAAAAAACAAAAACGACTTCATTTACAGGTTTCCTGGAGATCAACTGGCAACCAAAGACAAGAGTTCTAATTTTAAAGCACAGTTTTTGGTTATACTTGTTCTTAAATATGCCATTTCTCATTATAGACATGCCTCACATAATGACTGTTAGGTGGCTTTTTATTATAATCATAATGTATCTTGAAAATCAAGCCACTTTTTTGGATGATGACTCTTTCTTCTCTGCCTTTTTTTTTTTACTATAATTCAAAAAATAAAATCAAAGACCTACCCAAAATACAACAAAAGTGATATTTTATAAACACACCTATTGCTGTACTCAATATAATCATTTCTATTCAGAGAATATTATGAAGACCAAATTAATAAATCAGGTATATTTGGATGAATCAGAAAAGTTTTGCTTTGGGGGCACATGGATGGCTCAGTTGGTTAAGCATCTGACTTTGGCTCAGGTCATGATCTCTCAGCCTGTGAGTTAGAGCCCCATGTCGGGCTCTGTGCTGACAGCTCAGAGCCTGGAGCCTGCTTCTGATTCTGTGTCTCCCTCTCTCTCTCCACCCTTCCCCACTCATGCTCTCTCTCTCTCTCAAAATAAATAAACATTGAAAAAAAAAGAAAAAAAAAGAAAAATTTTGCTTTGCATATGTACACCAAGCTAGAGAATTGAAGATGGAGCATTCTTTACACTTTCTCCATCTGTTGAGTGCATGCACTCCTTCTGTGTTTCAAAGATGCTCTTGTATTTCACCTTTATTTTGCCTGAACAGTATTTTTCTATGCTGTGACTATTTTTTTTCAGTTGATTTTATGCTTCCTAAAACATGCTCTGCTCTCTTCAAACACTTTATATAGCCCCTTGATGCCCAAGGACATATCTGGAATGAGCCTAGTGATCCTTTTCCTACTGCTCTGTCACAGACACTCCCCGCTTTTTCTCAAGTGCTCCAAAATGACTCCCAGTCCCTTGACATCTGTCTTGAGCTCCTCCCCTGCTGTTCCTTCTGTGGCATGAAAGGACATGCTACCATGCCCTCTAGTCAGGAGCCCCCCTCTTTTTCTCAGCTTTAGTTTGAAGACTGAGGGGTCTATAAGCTTCCCTAGTCACTCCCTCTTTTGATATTTGTGCTTCCAACAAGATCTTAGTTTTTGCTTTTGTATAGAGTAAGTTATTGGAGCATCTCACTCCTTCTCTAGGCTCCTAGAGAATAGGCCATGTTTTCTGTAGCCCTGTGGCTGGATCAGGTGTGCTATACCTATTTTTAAGTGCAAGATAACCACAAATTTCTAACCTTAAAACTACTACCACCTGACTCTCCAGCATCTTCCAAAGAATGACTCCTTTGTATTTCTCCTCCACCAGCCACCACTTACTATCAAGTCTTCTCTTCCTCTTTTTGCAGGTACAGTAAACTGTTATTACATTAGAGGTTAGGTGTAGACTATTTTTATTTACTATTTTATTTACTTTCAAAATTGTTTTCATTGTTCAACTGATATATATTTTTCAATCTCAAATTATTTTGGTACCTTAGATAATTACAAAACACATTTTTTTCTATCAAAATTAATGGAAATATTTTCTGATTTAACAACTTTCACTTAGAGTTTGGGTTCTCTGTAATGAACGAAAGTCAGAAAGCAAAGTTGAGGTATGCTTACAAAATATTACTAAGAATCAAAGAGTCTGAGAAAAAGCCCTTTTAAAATGCTTACTAGCTTAGCAAGCCATGGCTATTTCTATAAAGTTACACTGTGGACGCAGGAGCAGACACTCAAGAGTAAGATCCCAAATAGTTCCCCAATGTTACTATCAGTACCGCCAAAAAATTTTAGTAATTTTCTCCTGAACTGAAATCCCAGAGTCTACTACAGCAATGGTTGTCAAACTTCATCATGGATCATAATCAGCTAAAGGGATTGTTAAAATACATTGTTATACTTCACCCTCAGAGCTTCTGATTCAGTTGGTCTTGAGTGAGGTTCCAAAATTGGGACTTTTAACAAGTTCCTAGTTGCTGCTGCCAATTCAGAAGCTACACTCTGTGAACCACTGAACTATGGTTAACAATGGACTGACACAACTTGGATGTTAGAGGACTGGGGTTAAGTGAGAG